TCACACAAAGGGTCATAAAACTCCCCAGTATTTCCAACCGCCCGCTTGGAATTTCAGCCTTTCTCATTGGACAAGCTCATCCTGAGAGGCGTGAATCTTCTCAGACCTTAAAGGCCTCACATCAGTGACCAGCCTCCAGTCGGCGGTTCTGTTAGATTCTGAGAAGATGAGGATGTGAACTAACACCCCTCTAAGGACACCCTAAGTCTGCGCCAGGCCTCGGGCCTTGATTTTAGCTGATTCGCTACATATGTGACAAGCAATGCCACACAGCCAAATGCTAAAATATATAGATTTTTACATTTTATGACCGAAATGCGAGTGGTTTTACCTGAGCACAACTGAGCCACAATTTTACAGTGTTGTAGGTGGTTGCTGGGCATTGCTAAGCAGCTGTGTGTTCTGAGTAGTTGCTAGGTGGTTGCTAGGGTGCAAAATACTCTGTTCGTGAGCGCCACAATGACATGGTTTTATGTAAAAGCAGCGAATCTGGGCATGTGACTAAAAACACCAGTTTTCTTTGTAATGTGTTGGAAAAGATGAGACCACCTCACTGTACAAAACTTGCCACATTGATGGCATGTGAATGTTTGCATTAATAACCATTATTCAATTTAAAATGTTTATTGCTTAAAATTTTCGCACTGAATATTCATCTTGTGTGAACAGGCATTTAGTCTGAGACTTTTCCCACTCGTTTTAAATGTAAATTTAAATTGCTTAGAAAAGTATGTAAGTAATAATAACCTTTAAACCAGGGTTATTATTATTAGCTGCAACTAAAACTATTAAAGGCATTTTTGTTAATTGAAATATTAGATAACTATTAGATGAAACACTGAGCAAAATTTAAAAATGATGCCTTGACTGAAATTAAACACTAAAATTACTAAATGAAAATAAATAAAACTAAAACTGAAATACAAGTAAATTAAACCTACACAATATTTAAAACTAATAAAAATGACAAAAGCACATAAAATGAGTAAAACTGAATATATAAAAATAAAAGCCATTCAAAATATTAATAAAACTATACATATAGTATAAACTATAATATTAAAATAACGCTACTTTACAATAAGGTTAAATATGAAAAATAGCTGCATTAGCTATAATTAACTAACAATGAATGATTTTTACAGGATTTGTTTATCTCCTTATGTTCCATGCCATTACTTGGAAAAATATGCAGTTCTGCTCCAAATCTACACTACTGGTTGAGCCAGAAGCTGAGATATTGAACTGCTCAAGCAAACAGAGCCCCACAAGTGTTTACACTCTTCAGGAAGTTGACCAATGAATGGTTTAACTACAGTTGTCTTTGTACATTGAACTTGGAAAGATGAAAGTATTTTAACATCAAAAAAATTTCACACTCCTCCAAAAATATGGAATTTTCAGTTCTAGCTTATTGTCGAAGAAAAAGTACAGTTCCCCAATATGATGAAAGACAAGAACAGAGAGAAAAAACAGATCTATGGAAACCTGCATTCTCTCTAGAGGGCAGCAGAATATGCTGGGCACATTCTCCTTGTATGATAGCACCCGAGGGAAGACTCACACTTTGATCTTAATGATCGCTCTGTGGGTTGTTGGCCCTTGATCAAGTGAAGCCCCTCATAAGCCAACACTGTCTATAAGTTTAAATGCTGGTCTGGAATTAGTTTTCCCTCTCCAAATCCAACGCTACTAGTGAGAAAGAAAAAGCTGACCCCTAGATCACTGGCTGCAGGCATTCCATTTTAAACAATTTTACAATTCTATCTTTGGCTTCCCACACTAAAAAAGTAATGTCAAAACTTACGTTAAAGTCATCATATAAAATATCTTGTATAAAATACTTGCATATAAAACCTCATTTAAAAATAAAGTCCAAAATATACGATTATACCAACAAACAATTTACTGAGGATGTTTGCATTTGTGCAGAAGTGCCTGAACTCACCGCACTCCTTCACAGGCTCATCAGACCAGTCCTTGCAGTCCTTGATACTGTCGCACACTTTACTGCTATCGATACATTCCCCGCTCTTACACATGAACTTCAGCGGACCTTCACATTTGGTGGCTGTCAAGGACACAATAAAGAGTTCTTACACTTATGATATTTTAAGAGTAGCACATAAACAAAACTAAATTATGTAGAGTACCAAACATGAACTGCCATTTCACAAAACACATTTTCAAACGACACTCGTTGCATGAATGTTCATTATGCTCTTTGCCGTACAATGACAATAGACAGTGACAAGAGGCCGTCAAGATCAAAACAAGTACATAAAAGCACCATAAACGTAGTCTGTGGAATTTAAGACAATATTTCAAATCGTGTAAAGCCTATAAAATAGGTCTGTGTGAGAAACAGGCTGAAATACAGTATATGGCTTCAGAAGATCTGGAATATTAGGGCTGGGTTTTGACACAAATTTCACGATTCAATTCAATTCTCATTCACAAGCTTGCGATTTGATTCGATTACCAATTCAATTTGATTCAATATCGATTATTTTGGATAAATATCAGGTACAGTACATGCCAAATTTTCTCAAGGAAAAAAAAATCTCAACTAAAGCTGTAAAATATACATGGGAGTCAGTTGGTACTACATTACTATAATATTAAAAGGTTAAAATTTACTGATTTGTAGGCTAATACATAATTGCTAAAATTACACTTAATGAAGTTTTTAAAATAATAGTTACAATTACATAATAATACTTCTACTTCAATTCGTCTTTTTGAAATATAAGCATTTAAATGGATTTATTCAAACATAAATTAAACTTTAAAGAACAGTAAAAATGATAATGAATATGTTATATGGTGCATATATTTAGCAAAATGCCCCTCTGTACAGTTTATTTTTCTAGCTTACTAATGAATTTATGGTCACCGAATATGTTTTTTCTAAATGTAAATGTGACGTTACGTGACACATTGTTTACAAGCTGTTATATTGACGTCTTTGTGCAGCCGAAACACTAATTGAGAGATTACATGAGACAGGATACGGACTGTAATGTTGTACTCTTTCTTTTAACATACCTTCGGATGTTTAGTCATGATTATTTTGTGCTGAAACTGGTATTAATGTGGAGGAGAAGATGAGTTCACGTACGCCTCGCGCTGCTGCTTTTATTGAACTGAAGCGCGCCGCGCTACAGCGATCTGTCGCTCCACATTAAACAGCGCCAAAACGGCATTTATTGTTTAAATACTGCAATACAATGGACAGAATTTGAAATCTGAGACTGTGTTTCATATTAAAAGTACCAAAGCACAATGCTTATTGCAATTTATTGGATGGGAAGTGCCCTTCAATGTTCCATCAATTGACTGAAAACAGGCTAGAATAATCGATTCTTGGGATTTAAGAATCGATATCGTTCTGTAAACATGAGAATCGATTAATATCGAGATATCAATATTTTTTACCCAGCCCTATGGAATATAGTGCATGAGTCATATGGACTACTTATTTGGTACTTTAATGGTGCTTTTTTTTGTCCTTTCTGGATCTTGACAGCTCCCCAGGTCACAGTATGTTTCAAAGGACATTGCTTTTAAAGTCTAAATATCTTACCAAGACTGCATTTATGGTCAAAAATAACATAAAGCAGTAATATTGTAAAAATGATTGAATTTTAAAATTAAGTTTTCAATTTTTATATATTTTAAAGGGTACATTGGATAAAATGTTCACTTTTTTACCTTTTTTTTTTTTTACATTTAGTTTCTTATTATTTGTTATTATTATCCATCTTGAAAACAGCTGTGCTGCTTAATATTTTAGTGGAAACCTTGATACTTTTTGTCAGGATTCTTTGATGAATAGAAAGTACAAATATAATTTTTGTAACATTATTAATGTCTTGACTGGCATTTTTTAAAATCATTTTAATGCATCTTTGTATACTGAATAAAAGTATACATTTAAACAGCAGTGCATGTGTATGGGACACAGCACTGAGCACATTCTGCTAAACTTCTGTTTTTGTGTTTCACAAGAATAAAGCCATTTTAAATGACATGATGGTAAGAAAAAAAAAGTACATTTTAATTTTGGGGCGAATTATGCAATTACAACATGATTTATCCAAATAGGACACGTTCCTGAATAAATATAATTTGTTTGTCCTGGAAGAACATTCCTATCAACCAACTGTAGTCCTAATCTTATCCCTAAACCTAACCCTACAGTCACAGGACTCTGACTAATCTACAGAAATATTGTTTTAGGACCAACAAAGGATGCTGATCCTATGTCCTACTTAAATCATGTTATGCATCACTAACCAGATATAGCCATGGCATAATTAATCTTTTGAGGTGAAGGTGCCATATAGAAAGTGTGCCGTGAAACCCTGGAATCATGTAGGGTATATCTGTTTGGCCTTGTAGTGCTTTGTGTGAATATTAACTTGATTGGGGCTACATAACTGGATGCACTCTACTCTTTCATCTTCACTGAAAATGCTGCTAGAAGAGGGGAGAGATGAAGAGGCTAATCAAAAGGGAAAGGGAGATCACTGAAGTTACTCACTTTTGTTGATGCAGCCAGCCTCGTCGCTGAAATCTGGACAGTCGTGCACTTTGTTACACTGTTTAGTGCCGTGAATGCAGGAGCCATCACCACACTGGAACTCATCAGGACGACAGGTCAGCACAGCTGTAGGGCAAAAACATGTTTATGTAGGACTACCATTCCTGTAGCTATATATATCAGCCTGGCCAAATAATCAATATTTGGTCATTTTGCAGAAAACCGCAGAGTGGAGTATGATTTACTGATTCTCAGAAGTTGTCATTCCACCTAATGTTAATTCCAAAATCTACTGACATCCTTGTCAATGGATAGTGCACATGTTCTGTTTTTAAATATTTGTAGTTAATTTTGAGTAAATGATGGTGATAAAATAAAATAAAAAGATAGTATATAAGATATTATAAAATATATAATTATATACTGTACATTTTATTTTAATAATATTACATTCATATACAAATTTTTTATAAATTTTTATTACCTCGCTCTCTAGACATCTGTATCAGCATCAGCATTAAAATTGGTTCATTGCAAATGTATAATTTAAATATAAGTCACTTTGGAAAAAAGAATCTGCCAAGTAAATGTAAAGGACTAAGATAAAGCCATGAGTTGTTAAAGCTGTTAAACACATGCACACTAAAGCACTCACCATCACACTTTCATAATAATCACCCATTGCACCTCTATTTGTGAACTTCAGTTCTAAAACAGCAAATGGTTTTGGCTTTTACCTCCTGTCAGATCTCAAGGTAATAGCTTATTTGCAAGAGAGTTTCCTAAGAAAAAAAAAGCTCTGAACATTAAAAACAATCAGTCACTTACTCTGGGGTATAAGGGAACACACTGAAGAAAGAAAAATGTGCTGTTCGACGAAGAAAGGTCTTAATTTTTCACATTCATCTTTTAAAATCCCTTTAATCTTTCATACGGTGTAATTTGGAGGAGCTGCGGAGGGAGAACATTCACCATGATCAATTTCACTAGAGCATATCAACTTCTCACGCCAGCTCTCTTGCCTCTCTATACACTGCTTAAAAATATGCTTGACCTATATTTTTGCCCTGTTTTCCAGTAAAAATAAATAACCCTCTCTAAAACAAAATATATTCACTTGAGAAACAAAATTGTATATAATATTAGTTTAATAACATTAATTAATTGAATTCTATATGAATGCATCAACTGTATCTGTAATATCACCTCCAGTTTGGCTTTTGAACCGTTACTTAGTGGAAACATAGTTTGCTATTATTCATAAATGTCATTATTTATTAAACATTGGAGCATTTATTCATATTGCCATTGCTGTCATAAGCATAGTCAGTGTTGTTATCGTTAACTACAACTAAAACCATTAAAAACATTATTTTTAATTGAAATAGAGCTTAAATAAAATATTAGATTGAAAAACTCAAACCACATGAAAATTTGAAATGTTGCCTTTGCAACTAACTGAAAAAAATTGGTTGAACTGAAGTACTGAAATAAAACTAAAATTGAAAAAATAAATTGAAACTATTTTTAAAAAACAAAGTAATAAAAATGACAAAGCACATAACAAAATTACAAAAAATGTAAGTAAAAATAAAATATAAATAAAAAATAAATTCAAAATAATACCAAAAAACTATAATAGTACATAAAGATTACTAAAATAACACTGGCAGCATAAAAACAGTATTCACCCACAAAGAATAAACATCTAACCTAAACCAAATCAAATATAATGCAAAATGACCAAAATATGAACTGAACAGTTAAGTATTTTGAGGATGGTGCACAATCCCTTACAAGAACCCTACAGTGAGACAACACTCACAGAGCACTTACTCTGCCATGCCTCAAAACACACGTGTTGCCTGGCAACCACCAAGACTCAAGCCATTACCATGCCTCTACCACAGTACTTCGTGGAGATTTACATGTCATAAACTCATGGAAAAAGAACACCATTATATCAATAAACACACACATGCTAGAAAAAAATTTACATGTGTGTGCACATGCTCTGCATCAACAACGCACATTTTTTCAGCTGCAGGTTGTGTGTTTTCAGGATTACTCAAACAAACATGCTTGTTCCCTCATGCCTCATGGAGAAACAAATCCTTGAAATGCAAAGTCAATAAACATTCATGTTCACTGATTCCGATTCTATTGTATTGTTTGCAATTGTACATGCTAATTAATTTAGCAATAATCCAATTTTTTATAAATCAATATTTGCTGATAAAATATGCTAAATGAAGATTTTTCAAAGACAATTAATTATTGTGGGAGACAAAGTAGACATTGGCAGTAGAAGTCAATACAAAGTGCAGCATGTTCAAAACCCTTACAAGAACCCTACAGTGAGACAACACTCACAGAGCACTTACTCTGCCATGCCTCAAAACACACGTGTTGCCTGGCAACCACCAAGACTCAAGCACATTACCATGCCTCTACCACAGTACTTTGTGGAGATTTACATGTCATAAACTCATGGAAAAAGAACACCATTATATCAATAAACACACACATGCTAGAAAAAATTTTACATGTGTGTGCACATGCTCTGCATCAACAACGCACATTTTTTCAGCTGCAGGTTGTGTGTTTTCAGGATTACTCAAACAAACATGCTTGTTCCCTCATGCCTCATGGAGAAACAAATCCTTGAAATGCAAAGTCAATAAACATTCATGTTCACTGATTCCGATTCTATTGTATTGTTTGCAATTGTACATGCTAATTAATTTAGCAATAATCCAATTTTTTATAAATCAATATTTGCTGATAAAATATGCTAAATGAAGATTTTTCAAAGACAATTAATTATTGTGGGAGACAAAGTAGACATTGGCAGTAGAAGTCAATACAAAGTGCAGCATGTTCAAAATAGTGCCAATCTTAGGTACTAAGATTACTAAATTACATTTCAAAATTAGACAGCTCTAATTATATATACTGTAACAGATGGAATTCAAATGTTATTGTGGGAGACAAAGTAGACATTGGCAGTAGAAGTCAATACAAAGTGCAGCATGTTCAAAATAGGTACTAAGATTACTAAATTACATTTCAAAATTAGACAGCTCTAATTATATATACTGTAACAGATGGAATTCAAATGAATTTGAATAGATTTAGAGTATAATTTAGAGCATATTTTGTATTTAGAGTATATTTTCTTCTAGGATTTTGAGTGTTTATTATTTTATCATAGTCAGCTAAATTGATACACTGACCTTGTACGACTACAGATCAACAAAATGCATGTTGGCATGCATGCAATGCATTTGTGTTAACAGAATATGGAGGAACAGACAATAAGGGACTGATTCTAAATTAACAACATTTTCCATGAATACACCATGTGCTTTACTGCTTTACTTGGACGTGACAGTAATTTAGAAAGACTATAATGACAAGAACAGCATGCATGCAGCATTAAAAAGAGCATGTAATGCAGCCAAGTGGTAAAACTGATTATTAATTCATTTAATTAACTCATTCACCACACAGCAAGCCTCTCCAATGTAAATACCTTAGGAAATGTGCTTGAGAATGTTAACTCTGATCAGTATATTAAAAATATTAGTCTTCTTAAACACTTACGACAGTTGGCCTCATCAGACTTGTCCTTGCAGTCTACATCTCCATCGCATTTCCAGTTGAGATGAATACACTCTCCACTCCTGCACCGGAACTCTCCCGCAGTGCAGTGGGTTTTTTGAGGCTCCGTCCTGCGGCTGCAACGCTCCAGAGATTCGTCCGATTTGTCTCTGCAGTCGGGGTCTCCGTCGCAGCTCCACGGCGCTGGGATACACTCTGAGTCGTTACAGCGAAACTCATGTGGCCCGCAGGTGCTGGCGGTGGCTGCCGTGCACTTCTCCTCATCGCTGCCGTCGCCACAGTCATCATCCCCGTCACAGACGAATGTGGGAGCCACGCACAGACGATTACGGCACTGGAACTCTTTAGCAGGGCAAGCCTTGGCATCTGGAAAAATGAAGAATGTTCTTTATTAACACAGAGTTTTAAAGTCGCTCAAATACATATACAGTATGTAAAAAATTACTTGAACAATAAATAGTTTATAGCTGAACCTTTAACTATTGCATGTTAATATAGACATTTTTAGACATCTGAACTTTTTTTTGTTTTTTTTGTTTCCTGCTTCCATTTTTATAATTCATCAAAAGCATATTTTGTCTCCTGTGCTTCCAACTTTTTTGTGCTATATAAGCACAATTTTGTCATTTTGTCATTGTTCTTATCATTGTACATATTTAGATTTTATTTTAAAATGTATTATTGAAAAGACTTGAAGTCGTCAGGTTAGGCATCAACTCGGTTCCCATATATTCTCCTTTTTGTAATGAACTGAAGAAAAAAAAAGGGAACCCTGATTAATAATGACTTTTTCATAATCCAGGAAGTAAAATTATAAAGGACAAAAACAAACAAGTCTCCTTTTATAATATTTCTTTTCCCTTATGTCTTGTATTTGTCAGTTGGCGGCGATCTTAAAATGTCAACCCTGATATCATGATTTTGAATAATTAACAACTAATAATTGAAAAGTGGATATTTGTAGAAATATCAAATTCTCTTTTAAACAAAAATAATATTTGTAGTTTTATAGCCTTATAATTTCTAATTAAAACGGTCAAATCATGCAACCCTAACTCCAATTTATTTGCAATATATATTAAAATGTAACGTAAAATATAATTTTTTAGAATGTAATTAAACATTTTTAAATGATGATAATTTAGTAATGTTAAATTACCTTGTAAAAATGATTATAAATTATAATTAATTATTCAATAGAACATTTTGTAAAATTATTAAAAAAAAAATCCCTTTAATCAAACTTCTAAATCAGTTTGGGGAAAAAAGATGACTATGGGTTTCTGTTTAATGATGTCACATCACCAAACCAATTAGGTATCATTACAGTAAAATGACTGAACCACACTTCTCACTGGAAATTTATGGCAAATGCAGCATGAACTCTGAGCTATTCTGTGCTGATGTGAGCTCCGTGACCTCACTGATTCAACTGTGCTGCAGATGACCTGAGATTCACACTTCAGCCCCACACTGGTGGCAGACCCTAAATGGGCTTAACTGTGCTGTAGTAAACGCCTGTCCATTCTTTAATGGGGTCACCCACCCCACCGGAATAACCGTCCTGAAAAGCTGTAAGGCGACTGGGTATTACATTCACAGAGACTAGTTTTGTAAAAGGATTTAAAATGGCTTACGAGCATGTGATCGGGTGTGAGCATGTTTGAGCGGATGGGATATGAGAGAAATCGATCCTGACTTTTTGTGACTTTGCGTCAATAAACCTGTAAATATGCAAACTATTTATAAAGAGCAGCTAGGGCTCATAAAACACTTTTACCGTCAAAATGGTGACATTATCAAAATTGTATTGCCGGATTTAAAATCAATGTTGCTCACAGAAAGGTCATTCTTGTTGTTTATGTTACTTTAGCTGATTTGTATTTCACATTTCTGCCACCTACGCTAGTTGCTTTTGAAGTCAATTACAATAATGCTCAATGAGATATGATGCTAACTGTGTTTTTGCAAAGCTGATTAGCCAACAAGCATCTAAAAACCACTCAAAGGTTTCTTCAATGACCATCGAACAGCTGAGGGGAAAGGTGGAATAATATCTTCTGGAATATGTAGATATTATCTAGCTGCTACATTTCTCCATGCTCAAGGTCAAGGCAGCCAACAAATGTAGCATGTTCTTAAAAGAAAGTAATGTGATTGGATCTTTTTTGTGTGTACAGCGCATTGGAAGGAAGGTTGCGTTTGCTCTAAGGAGGGGGAGATTGGATTGGCTGACCCTTCTCTTCTCTTGAGGGATGTAGACAGCAGCCTAAAACAACATCCTCTCAGAGAGGAACTGAACAAACATGCACAGCTTCCTCATATACCACTGTCACATTCCAGCTGGAATGAAAATCAAATCATCCAGCTCTAAACACTTGCAGAAGGTGTGAATTGGATGTATAAAATATTTTCACATACTAAATAAAATCTACACTAAACATTGATTAGCGGTGCTTGCTAAGTGTTACATTGAAAAAGGGACCAGAGCCATTTCTAGGGGCATTAAAACAAATCGATCTGGTTCTTTAAAAAAATGTTTAGATTAGGTGGATTTCTACCTTTTGCAATGCTATACAGAAGAATAAAAGAGCAGCAAACACACGCAGCTCTGGGCCGGATTGACTTTGTCATTCAAAGGCTGCTGATATATCTCTGCTGTGTGGATTTTGATGCTATCTCGTTTAGAGGTCAGGCACAACAGTGAATGGATTTTAAAAGAGCGGAAAGGAAAAGCTCAAAGCAGGTCAATTGAATTCCACTGACCAATGTCAAATACTCATTCCCCGGGCCAACAACAGACAGGTAGTAGACAGGGCTTTACATTAACAAGATCTCTGTGGCCTTGAACCACACAAGCAAACAACAGAGAGCTGAAAAATATATAGCAGAACTGAATGTGAAAGAATTACATGCAGCTTTTCTGTCCTTGTGTTAATTGAGAGACTACACAGAATATTTGACCGGAACTAACTGTTGTATAATATATAACATTAACACGTACAGTTGTTATATGACGTTGTTGTTATATCACACATATGTTGTATCACGTATTATACAACAGTTAGTTCCTGTCAAATATTACATTTGTCTCTCAATCAACACAAGGACAGAAAACCTGCATTCATAACTGCATTAAAAAAAATCTTTTAAATACCTTTTGATGCATGCCACACTGCAGGATATTTCAACTTTCCAAAACATTTCATGATTTCTAAATAACTTTTTCAATAAATTACATAAATGCACCTGCAGGTAGTGACAAGTGACTGTCTTTATTAGTCACTGAATCTTGAATTGAATTTGTTTAAAACACAGATTTTTTTTACAAGTGATTGTAAAAGCAAGTGATTGTTTTTACATGCAAGTCACTGAATCATTCAATACAACCAATTATTTTAAAAACACTGATTGTTTGTTCAAATAGACAATTTATTCTGATTCACTACTGTGGGTTTACTCAGCGATGCACAAAGTTGACTTTGTTCTGGCTTTGCTTGGGATTCTTGTCATTGGCAGAATAAAAATGGACCATGGCAATGAATGTAGGTTACTCAATATTAAAGGGGTCATATGATGCTTTTTTAAAGATCATTATTTTGTGTATTTGGTGTAACAGAATATGTTGACATGCTTTAATGTTAAAAAAACACATTTTGTAGGTCCTCTATGCCCCGCCTCTCTCAAACGCTTCGTTTTCTACAAAGTCCCTCCTTCCGACAAACGCAGTCTGCTCTGATTGGCCAGCTGACCCAGTGCATTGTGATTGACCGAACACTGCAAGCACTCGTCGGAAATGTAACGCCCCTTACCATAATCGTGAGCTTCATCTTTCAAAATAAATGTAAAGACAGTAAATAATGTCATTAGTTTTACCATCAGTTCAAGCCCGAAAGGGGAACAGAGTCGCGTGACAGACACAGTGATGAAGCTGGTATGTGTTTGCAGTACACAAGCCACGGTTAAGACAGCTGACTCTGTGATGTGACCCTGTCTCTCTCTCTCTCTTTCACACACACATATACACACACGCGCACACATACACACACACACACGATGCGCAAAACTCCGCATTTGAACAGTCAATAGCAAATACTTAAACTAATAACAAAACAGTAGCTGATTCAGAAGTGCCAGATTGTCATAGCAAAGTCAGAATGACCTCCTCTCCTAGGTTCACGAAACGGTTGTCCATAAAATACATTGCTGTTCTGCTGTAAGTGATCTTAAAAGATTCCTAAATGCATCTACTTTCGGAAGGCCAAATAAAGTGCTTTTGCTTTCACCTAGAAACACACAGCGTCTCCCTGACATGGCTGCTTCAACACTACCTGCGGCCGGTTACTGAAACCATGCCTTCTTTCTTTGTGTGCACATTTGGGCGCATTATGCAAATATTTCCACATAGTGAGGTAGATATGTGGGGGCATGTTAGAACGAGACGTTTTAGGGGGGCGTGGCAGAGTCTTAACTTTGATGAAGAATATCTCTTTGGTTTTGAGTCTTTGCAATCAGCTTGTAACACTCCAAAGACAAAGGAAAACTTGAAATCGCATCATATGACCCCTTTAACTTATCATTTATTGAACTGTGGTATGAAAGCAATATCATACTTGCAATCATGCTAACTCTACAAGTCTCACTGAAAATGAATGACTTCAGTAAATGCTCATCAAAGAATGCTCTTAACTTGCTGTATATTTGCCTTAAATTTGAACATTAAACGCATAAAAATACACACTTCACCTTTTAAAAGCAATGTGTAAGAAGACTGGAACACATTTAACACAATACTTACACCAAAGATATTTCAATTTAAATGACCACCCCATATCTGTGAGAACAAGCCACCGGGGGCAGTTTTAGTGCTGAGGTTCATGCTACACTCAGCAAATGGCCCGAGCCACTAAGTCAGCACAGAGTTAATGGTGCGTTCGCCACTGTCCTCCATCAGCCCGTAATATTATAGTATCCCCTATCAGAGAGAAAGACTAGCCTTCTCCGGGGAGAAAGACTGTAACCATGATGCACTGAGCTGAGGGAAAGAGGTGCCACAAACATACTGAGGCAGCTAAAGACGGCAATGCTTTGGATGAGATCCCCCTCATGAAGCTTTTTCCAGTGCTGACAACAGCGCCTGCAGGCACAGCATAAGGAAAAGAGGATATACTAGCAAGAAAGATAAATTGAAGAGGACAGGGAATTAGTTCAGGCCGGTATTTCTGTAAGCCCACAGTGTGGTTTCATTAGTCAGTTATGAGTTTAGAAAGAATAAAACATTTTGTTTGGGAACTCTGGTTTATGACTCTTCTTGTGTGAAGAAAATAAACCAGTAATGCAACTCTGGCAGTGTTTCACTGAAACTC